ATCTATCTATCTATCTATCTATCTATCTATCTATCTATCTATCTATCCATCCATCTATCCATCTATCCATCTATCCATCTATCCATCTATCCATCCATCCATCCATCCATCTATCTATCTATCTATCTATCCATCCATCCATCCATCCATCCATCCATCCATCCATCCAGAAAGAACAACACCATGTGTGGAATAACCTAACACATTATCATTAGGAAAACACCATCCCCACAGTGGAGCACGGTGGAGGCAGCATCATGCTGTGGGAATGTTTATTATCTGAAGAGACTGGGAAACTGGTCAAAGTTTAAGAAAAAAGATTTTAAAAAGTACAGGGAGACTATATAAAGACTGTTGAAGTCTTCCAGAGGTTTGAGACCAGGATGAAGGTTGACATTCCAGCAGGACAATAAGCCTAAACACACCACTGAAGCAACACTTCGGTGGTTTTAGGAGAACCAGTTAAAGGTCCTAGAATGGTCCAGTTAAGGCCTAGACCTCAATCCAATCTGAGAATCTCTGGTTAAGTTAAAGCTTTTTGGACACAAGTAGCACCAACCTGAAGGAGCTGCAGCAGAAAGGGCTTTTTTATGTGTGGCTAGATGTGCCAGGCTCATGGAGACATGCATGGAAAGACTTGATGCTGCATGATTCGTCAAAGTACTGATTAGGGAGGTAAATGTTAAACATGCTCAGGTTTTCTGGTTTATATTCAATTTTATTTATTTTGTTTGTTTCACAATAAAACATTTTACAACCTGCTGTGTAAATGCAAATATACAACACATTCCCCCAACGATCATTTTAAATTTCTAGTTGTAAGTGAAGGTCAAGGGGAGTGCATAATTTGCAAACCACTGTACGTGAAATCAGGACAATGTAGGTTTCATGACTTTGACTCAAAACAAGCAGGTAGGCAGTGTCATCCGGTATGGTTAAAGGATATATGAAACAGTTGGGAAGTAGAAGCTTATCGTACCTGCAACGATGGCACTTGCAGTGAAGAACACAAAGTTAATGGGAACCACCTCTGTGGCATCAAACATTTTCATTGCCTGATTGAGAAATCTGCATGGAACAGAAAACATATTTCTAAATGGCAGGAATATGAAGTTGTGACAGATGAATCTGTTTTGGAGCTTGTTCTGCAGATAGAGCGTCATGTTCAAACACTTGTTTCGTCCGTAGTGAATGAGTCTGATCGTGAAAATAAGCCACTGAATAAAAGTAGACAAAGGCTGAGAGAGAAAACCTTGACTAACTTGATCTGGAATGCGCAGGAGGCCACCATGACGACGAGCATGACGTAGAAGATGGGGTAGATGAGCTGCAGCTGGCCTTTTATCGACTCTGTGATCATCCCTGACACGGCTTTGACCGAGATGACTGTAAGAGATGCTGACACGGCACAGAGGCAACGGATCACTTCACAATTCGCACCACCTCTACGAATAAATAATAATAATAATAAATTCCCCATCTGTTCTTGGAAAAAGTTGTGGAGGTGTTTAAGTTTGTTACTGTGTTTTCCCTTCAAGTGTTTTCTGCTCATCTCTTAATAATAATAGCAGAGGTCCATTTTTGGTAACCTGGCAACAAGGCAACCTCTGATCACTGAAAATAGCTCAACCCAAACCTCTGCCCTCATTTAGACAACTTGCACTTGTTCGTACCGAGCAGGGCCACCAGCAGCATCACAATGACAATGTGCTTCATGTTCCTCCTCTTGTACAGATAGAGCAGGATGCAAAACAGGACGACCTCTACAAACTGTTCAGAGTAGGGGAAGAGAGAAGAGGAGTGTTATACAGGTCAATAATGTATACAGTACAATATGATTGGGATGACAGGAATGGCTCTAAAATTTATTTATTATTTATTAACCTTTATTTAACCAGGTAAATCCCATTGAGATCACAGAGTTATTTTGCAAGGGAGGCCTGGGCCTGAAGGCAGACTAAGGTCGTTTTCACACTAGATAGTCCGGTAGACTCGGTTCAGTTCGGGACCAATATTCATAACATTTTGTTTACGTTTGAGCTGGTGCGTTTGCATTCACACTGCACTGTGCAGTCGAGTCAACCTGCTGAACCAACCTGTTCCCCCGCTCGCCTGTGGGGGCGCTGCAACAAGAACTACTGAAAGAAACGACACAAAAACCTCTGAAGACACGTCTTCTTCTTCTGTAAATAAAAATAAAAACGAAGTGGCATCAAGTTTTAGCAGTTTTAGGAGTGATATTTTGTCATTTTTCAAAAATGGTCTCAGCATGAGCAGAAGATGAGACAGAAGACCACGGAGAATATTGTTTTTCACACAAGTCAGCTGACGGCTCCATATAAGGTAAGAGCAATGCGTGTTTGTTTGTCCTGCGGAGCGGGGCTCGGTCTGTTTACATTCACACTGTACTCGAACCGCGCTGGAGTTCGCTTCTACCGGACCGAGACCTAGGTTTTAGCCTGGGCCAGAGTTCACCTTTTTGTTCCGTGACAAAGTTCAATGGCGCGTTCACACCTCCCTAAACGAACCGGACTTTCTAGGAAAACGAGTTAGAGTTCGATTAAAGCGGACTAAACAGGGCTGGTGTGAATGCACTCTAACATGTATGTTTGTTTTGGTCTGTGGGAGGAAACCGGAGGACCCAGAGAAAACGCACGCAAGCACAAGAAGAACATGCAAACTCCACACAGAAAGACCTCAGGTCCAACCAGGGATTGAACACAGGACCTTCTTGCTGTGAGGCAACAGTGCTAACCACTGAGCCGTTGTGCTGCCAAAATGGTTTAAATCATACTTTTTTGATAGATTCCAGTTTGTAAATGTAAATAATGAATTTTCCTTAAACACCAAAGTTAGTCAGGGAGTTCCCCAGGGTTCAGTGCTTAGACCAATACTTTTTATATATGCTTCCATTAGGTAAAGTTATTAAACATGGGATAAATTTTCACTGTTATGCTGATGATACACAGTTATATTTGTCCATGAAACCCAATGAATCCAATCAGTTACTTAAGTTCCAAACATGTTTTAAAGACTTAAAAACCTGGATGGCCCTCAATGTTCTGCTTTTAAACTCAGACAAGACAGAGGTTGTAGACCTGAGCATTTTAGGAATACATTTTTCAGTCTTTCGCTTGCTCTGGATGGCATTAATCTGGACTCCAGTTATAAAGTTAAAAGTCTTGGTGTTATCTTCGATCAGGACATGTATTTTATCCCCCACATTAAAAACGTTAACAAAACCACTTTCCTCTCCACCTGTGCAATATCACTAAAATTAGAAACACCTTGTCTAAAAGTGATGCAGAAAAACGGGTCCATGCATTTGCTAAACACCGAAGATTTTTCAGTTATCAGGCTCCTCTCTTGTGGAACCAGCTTCCAGTTTCTGTCCGTGAGGCTGACATATTGTCCAGTTTGAAGACTGGGGTTAAGACTTTCCTGTTCCTGTTTGTTTGTTGCTCCTTCCTGTCCTCTCAAACCCAGTGGGTCGAAGCAGATGGCCTCTTGTCCTGAGCCTGGTTCTGCTGGAGGTTTCTTCCTGTTAAAAGGAAGTTTTTCCTTTCCACTGTCTCCTTTGTGCTTGCTCAGGATGGGAGGCTGCAACAAAGATTCAATACAATCTGCTGCTTCCTTAGACAGAAAACTTTTACCAATTGGCTTTTTATGTATGTGAATGTTTCTGTTCCCTGAGACAACTTTTGTTGTGACTTGGTGCTGTATAAACTGAACTGAATAATGCAGATTCTTTTAAGGCAGAAACGAAAATCCTGACAACATGCAACGTGCAAACGGCACATTTGAATTGAAACAAATGACCAAAAAATATGAAGTGAAATGAAATTCTTGTCTTCAGTGAGAACATCCCGGGGCCGTCCTTGTGAATCTAATCACATTCTGCCATTCACGGACTTTCAGTAAACACCATGCAGCTCGGCTGGAGAGCACTAAAAGAGCACAACAGTAGAGCTGAGAGGGGAGAAGGGCGCGCTGACCTTTAAATCTTTCAATATCATCCTGGTGTCGCAATAAGTACGTTAAATAAAGGGCTTATTTCAAAATGTAATTATTCCGTGTTGAAATGGATTACCCAGGACCTCGGTCATTAACAGCAGTTCACACTGCACACACTGTGAAGAACACCAAACAGGCCTTCAAAGCTGAATGGTGTGATGACCTCTGCGAATGATGAGAAGACAGCAATGGATGTTTCATTTCCTCTGATTAATCACCAGCCTCAGTTAATCTCACACTTGTTGGAGGTCGCTCCTTTGCCGGGTGATGAGAATTAACATTTTCACCGGCTGAAATGCTAAACACTGTTTCCTCTTACACCTCACCAATCAGTGCAGCGACAGGAAGCAGCTCCATTTAAAACAATAAACGCTTGTCTTTCCGGCCATTTCTCTTTTTCTTTTCATCCAGTAGCTGTTGTTTTTTTTTTTTTGTCTCAGAGTTTTCATTCGTTGAGAAAATAAGATTCAGGAGTGGCATTTGGAAAATGGCTGAAGGAAATGTGCTCTGAATAACGATGCTGCCTGGGAAACATTCACTTTGAGAAGCTGTCGTTCTGTGTTCTCTGTTCGAAGCCCTGCTCTTTCCAAGATCTGTTAAAACATTTGAATTAAAAAAAAGACTACACAAACAATTATTCGTCCATAAGTGATTGCTATTAATCAAAAAATACAGCAGGTTTTAAATAATTTGTGGTGCTGGCATCACTAGAAACCAGCAGGGTTTGACCTCCCACAGGCTCCTTCAGAAACATCTCAGGAGGTTTTAACCAAGTCAAGCATTTACACTCGAAGCCAACATTAACATTTTTGTGATGAGTAGGTTTTGAAAGAAAACATTTGTTTATTTATTTATTTATTTATTTCAGCTTAGCTCTGTGTTTTGGATCGGTTACTATGGTAACAGCTATGTTTATGCCAGAGCAGCCTGAGGTGAAATTGGACCTGGAGAGCACATGGATGAGAGGTAATGCATTTGCAGACTATGAGGTGGAGGCAGCCTTTTTTTTTTTTTTTTTATACTGCCAAGGACAACAAAACGATTATTCTGTTTTCTACACTTCCAAACCTGAAATGTAAAACAACATAAGAGCAGATTATCCATCATTATCGCCCACCGCCGAATGTAAAAGGGCAATATTGTTTTTGCGTGCTTGTTTGTTTGTGTTTTGTTTGGATGTGGTTGTAGATGAGTCACCTACAACTTGTACTCCGAGGGTTAACTGGTTACGCTAGATCTGTTTTTTCAGCTTTGTCATTAAATACTGCAGTCAACTCTCAGTGTTTGTGTCTGTTAGCAAAATATCTGAAGAACCACTGAAGAGGTTTTATTGAAACTCTAAGAGGTTTTATTGAAACTCTAAAAATGTAACAAATTAATGTGCATCTACAACTGATTAAATTTTGGAGTCAGCCAAATTCAAGATAAGAATCACAGATAACTGACTTTAGCCTTTGCAAAATGGGTTTTAACTCAGTCAGATATTGAGCTAAAGTTAGGTGTGGTAGTAGCTGAGAGTCATCCTCAACATAAACTCTGAGTGTACATACCATTTATAAGGTTTAACCAAAATGGCGACAATGGGCCAAAAAAATACGAAGTGTGATATGCATTCCTTCATGAAACGCTAAGTGCCGCAAACAAAGCAACAATAAAAATACAAACAAATATTGAACAAAAAGTCCTGAAGTTTGGGATAACGAGGTTGGAGATTCCATCAGCCTTTTCTCTACAAACCTGCTTTGTATTCAACTCATTAAAAAATATGCCATGGCTTTAATTACAAAGAGACAAAGAAATAACTTTTCCTTTGTCAGTGTCTAAATATGTGTGTAGTAGTGTGTAATAAAAGGATTTTACACACCAAGTAAAGCAGGAAGTGCCAGCTGATGAAGTAGTACTGAACCAGATGAGCTGTGATGTGTGTTGACGTGTGGGGGGCAAAGGTCACCAGGAGGTACGTTCCGGTTATCGCCAGGCTGCCACCTACAAAGGAGACCAGAGAGACAAGAAATTATAATGAAATAATTTTTTTTGCTAATTTAACTGGTGGAACGACTTCAGAGAACACCACAATGCCTCGTTGTTAGTCACCATCCATAAAGTCATATAATGACCTCCTCTCTAGTTTAAAATGAAAGGGGCCAGTTTGGTCTCACTTAACATAATTTTGAACCCCTAATTCATGCAGGAGCTCAAACAGATGGCATGATTGCTAACTATAACTAATTTCTAACTCTAACTTGATTGAAGGTTTTTAAAGACATTGTTGAAGCACTGGATGCTAAGGATTATTGTGCTGCACTTTTCTTAGACCTGTCTAAAGCTTTTGACACTGTGGATCATAACATCTTGTGTCATAAACTCTCAGAAATTGGTTTCTCTGATCACACCATTGGTTGGTTCTCTAACTATCTCTCAGACCGGAGGCAGTGTGTTCAACATAATGGTACTTCCTCCAGTTATTTAATAGTCAACAATGGTGTAACACAAGGCTCAGTCTTAGGATCCACCCTCTTCACAATCTACAAAGGTAATGTAGGTCAGAGCATCCATGATGCATCCATACATTTCTATGCTGATGACACAGTTGTTTATTGTTGAGCTAAAACAACTGCTACAGTTTTCCAGCTTTTGCAATCCACCTTTGACATCATCCAGTCAGATTTGTTGTCTTAAACTTGTCATAAACACCAACAAAACCAAAGGGATGCTTTTTTCAAACAGAAAGTCAGTCCCAGCAGTTCTTTCTTTGATTTTATCCTTAAATGGTGTCCCTATTGAGTTTGTTGATTCCTACAAATTTTTGGGTATGTTGGTCAATTCTCTCTTTTAAGCCTCATGTCGAAAACTTGGTAAAGAAACTGAAAGTTAAACTGGGTTTCTTTTTTAGAAACAGATCCTTCTAACTCTGAATGCTAGGAAACGCCTTGTATCTGTGACTTTCCTTCCCTCCATTGATTACAGTGACATTATTTACATGAACGCTCCTAGAAGAACCCTGCAGATGTTGGATGCCGTCTATCATGGTGCACTAAGATTCATAACTGGCTGTGATTATCGTACCCAACATTGCACTGTCATGATCAGCGGCCCCCGCTGGCCCCCATCTGCTCACTTCCCTGCCCGTTCATGACATGCTATGTTTTCTGCCATTCTGGTCATAGTTTCTGTTCATGTTTATTCTCATCTCCTGTCAACCTGCACCTCTGCCTGCTCACTTCACCACACCCCCTCAGCTTATCACAGCAATCAGCCCTGATTCCACTCACCTGTTCAGCTCATCTGGTTCACCTGCTCTGCACCCTTCATAAGATCCATTTTCCCTCTCCACCAGTGCGAGATTATTACACCTTCCATGGTCCCTGATTTTCAAGCCCTCATAGTTTCATGCCTAGACCTCAAGCCTTGTTCTCTGGATTATTGACCTCACGCCTGCCTTCTGGATATCCCATTTTTTGCCTGCTCCTCATGTGGTTCTGTTCTGCCTCTCTGACCACGGTAACAACCTCCTCTTCGGTCTATGACCTCGACTCACGAATCACCCTTTTGGATTGCCCTTTGGACCACAAACTTTCATTGACCCACTGTCCATAGCATTAAAGGCCTCCCTCTGCAGCTACCAGCAGCCTTATTAATAAAAACTGTTAATTTTTGCACTCCTGTGTCTGGCTTATATTGAATCCAAAACCTTGGTCCATGACACGCACCCTGTATTTCCTGGTTAACAGGTCATCATTAACTTCATGCAGACTCTCCCACTGGTACATTTTCATCTTTAAATCACTTCTTGGTCTGCTGCCTTCATACATCTCCTCCTACATGTTTCTGCATGAGTGCAGCTACAGCGTGCACTCTCAGGACATTATTACCTGCAGTGTTCCCTCAGTGAGGACTGAACTAGGCAAAAGGGCCTTCTCTTACTCCGTTCCTGTTTCTTGGAATATCTTACAAAAAGATCTGAAGCTCTTGACTTTGACCTCTCTAAGTGGCTTCAAACATCTGTTAAGTTACTGGAAAAAACCAATGCAGACATGTTCTTGTCTTTAGTGTTCTACATCACCCTACAATCTAGCTGTTTTTTGTTACATTTTCTTTTGAACACCATTTTATTTTCACTTGTTTAAAAAAAAAACTCTATTTGTACGCATCCTTTACGATTGTCTATTGTTGTCTTTGTTGTTCATTGTTGTCGTCATTCTTTGTTGAAATCAGGTCTCTCTTGTAAATGAGTCCCCGAGGCTCAATGGGATTAACCTGTATAAATAAATGTTGAATGAATGAAAAATAACTATGAAACACCCTGAATGAGGAGTGATCTTTTGCTCCCGACACACTAGAGCTGTCATTTCTAACCCGAACCCGAAACCCGGCCTGGACCAACCCGGATTAGGGCCGGTCCTGGCCATTATAATGTGATTAATGTGCGGGCCGGTCTCGAGCTTTGATGCGGTTTTACAACTCATACAGCACAAATAAAATGAGAGGATGAAAAAAGAAAGAAGAGTGCAGCAGTTAATCAGACTGTGGAAGAGCTCGCTGGCGCAATGCGCAATAATTGCGCACGTGGGCTCAGGCTTCTGCGGTTTTACGAATCATACAGCACAAAGGAAACTAAATAAGAATGAACAATATAAAATTGTGTTAATCTACTTGCTGAGGAGGAGGCAGGTCCAACCGACCGGTTTAAAGAGGTAAAAATAAAGTCTCATTAAGCTCACATGGACACACCTGTCAACGGCCGTGCGCGTCCACTGACTCACCGGTTGAAATGGACTTGTGACCTGTCCAGGGTGTACCCCTCCTTTTGCACAGTGATTGACATGGGCACCAGTGACCCCCGCTACCCGAAAATGAAAAAGCAGGTAAAGATAATGGATGGATGGATGGATCAACTGATCACCGGCCGCGCACGTCTCCGCACCTGCTGTCATCTGCGGTGAAGCAGCAGACTCTACAAAAGCCGAAATGAGCAGTACATTCAATTAAAATAACCTGGTTCTATATTTTTCCAAATAATTTTGCTCTAAAAATATTTTTGTTCATCTGTGTAATAGTCTATCTTTAGAGTAGTTTTTTTAGGCTATTTGTTTTGTATGTTAATGTCCATTTGGTGACTTGTTAATAAACATAAATCTTATATCTTCCTTTCATTACGTTTTTAAAACTATCATGTCAGACTGATTTGCTTACAAAAGCAGTAAAAGCTTAATAAAAAAAGTCAAAATTTTTTTTGGTTCGTCCCTCTAATTACCGGTAATCCATTGGGTCCGGGTAGGGCTTGAAAAAAACAACTACGGGTTCAGTCTGGGCCAGATTTATTAGGCCCGAATGCAACTCTATGACACACTAAGCTTGTAACAAAGTTGAAGAAATGAATTGCAATAAAAACAAGAATTAAACTGAGGATTACTAAAGAAAAGTGCAATGTATTGCCAGTATTAACATGATATTTCATTTAAATATGCACAGTACTTTTGATGGTGATGTTTTTAATAGAGTTTAATGTATAGCTAAATAATTGAATGGCTGTAACTTTCCTATTACAGCCATTATTCAGAAGATGCATTCCAACTTACATCTCTATGTGCATATAAAATACATTTTTACTCTTAAGTTGGCTCTGTGTTTAAAATGATGTTATAAACATGAACAACTGCTGTGTGCAAACAGAGAAACTCACAGCCAACGGGCCTAAAACAACACAACAATAACTTCCAATCAGTCAGTTTTACAGGTACTGTCCAATAAATGGTTTGAGGTGGTAGCTGAGTGTTAGTCACAACAACGTATACTTGGTGCATGACATATTGCACAAAATCTTATCTTTAAAATCTAGCATTAACTGTTGGAGTTTGTGCAATCACTGGATCTACTTTGACAACTATAATTTAAGATGAACGCCACAGATAATCAACGTTAGCCAAAACAAAAAATGTTATTCAGTTTTACAAATATGGGCAGCTATGGATGAGTGGTTGGAGCAGTCGTCCTCCAATGGGAGAGTTGGGGGTTCAATTCCACCAGCAGTCACATGCTGAAGTGTCCCTGGGCAAGACACTGAACCCCTCATTGCCTCTGATGTGTGTCCCATCAGTGTATGAATGTGATAAAGCTCAGATTATTGTTTGTATAGATCTAGTAGTGTTGTATGAATGGATACATGAGGGCACAGATTGTGTTGTAAAGAGCTTTGAGTGTCTTGATATGATAGAAAGGTGTTATATGAGTACAGTCCATTTACCATTTACAAACATAGAGCTGAGATTTGATGTAGCTGGATCATTCATGACACATAATCTGCACTATATCATGAGATTTTTTACACATTCTTTTTTAGGTTTGACCAAAACAGCTATGACTCCTTTGTTGCACATCATTAGATGGTTTTGGGATACATTAATTCACATTAGGCTACATGGTTGTTCACATTATACTTTAAATGCAACCGTCATCAGGCTCCAGCTTGAACTGTGTATGGCACTGATGTGACATGCATGCGCAGATGATGTGATGTCACAGGCAGCGCGCTGTTCATGGAAGTAAATATAGATCAGAAGTATCTAGTTTAGTGTCACATATGACTGTGAAGCAGAACAGCTCAGTGGTTAGCACTGTTGCCTCACAGCAAGAAGGTCCTGGGTTCAATTCCTGGTTTGGACTTGGGCTCTTTCTGTGTGGAGTTTGCTTGTTCTCGTCGAGTTTCCGTGGTGCAAAAACATGCATGTAGGCTACTTTCAGAACTAGGCCTCCCATGCAAACAAGGATTTGCCTGGTGAAATAAGAGTCAACAAATAAATACAAATGTAAAGTATGGAGTTGCATAAATGGATTTGTCAGATTCAGACATCAGATTTGGATCTCTTTTGCCTGCAGTGCAAATGTAGCCTTAGTCTATAATGGGCTTGAAAGGCAGCAGGTGATATGCATTCCTTTGGGAGTCCTTGTTGTATTTTTACTAGACTCAATCCTTTGTGCACAAGGAATTATAAAGAAACAGACACAAATTATAAACAAACTCAAAAGACTTCTGTCTTTACATTAAAATGTTTCCAAAGTGTGACTCATAAAGTGGTTCATTGGTTCCAGGGACAAAACAAAAAAGGTGAAAATGGCATCTGTTTAATTTGGGAACCAAAGAGCACACAGAGCTGTTTGGTACTGATATGAATGTATGGTCCAGCAGCTGCGACGGCCATGACAGTCAGGCCATTTCCCAGAAGGCTCAACAAACGACTGATGCATTTAACAACATTATCTAAAATCGGCTCACCTTTTCTTTCCAATGTAAAATGTCTTCTCTCTCAGCAACCAGACTGAGTTGAATTCCAACGTTAATCATTGTTTTGATCACGCTTCCTCTGTTAATCTTTTTGAAACAGTAATGCAAGGCAATTCTGCCCTTTAGGGGTGCTTAGCCCCCAGTGCTGACACTGGTTCTTGACTTGAACAATGCGGCGGTTATTGGTGTTAGAAGCATTTGTAAAGTAGGGGGAAACACTAGTGGGGGGGTCTGGGGGTCCTCCCCCAGAAATTTTTGAATAAAGTAGATGTCATTTCCTGCATTCTGGTGTATTTTAACGGGTTTTAAACATCTACGTTTACCTATATACGTAAACACTTGATTCAATAACTATTTTAGAGCTCGGCACAACAAGAAGTAGCGCTATGCTAGCAGCGCGCTATACAGATGTGCTAGTTAAGATGCTACAGATGTAGCGCTCTGCTTTACATTACACAACCTAATAAACACTTCGTTCAAAATCAGTTTAGATCACAAACAAAGACTAAACTTATACAACCAGAAGTTATAACATATCTATATATACATATATTATATCTACATATAAAACACACAAAACAAGCACAACTATCTTTAAACATTAACCTTTAATTTAACCATTAAGCATATACAATGTAATTATGACAGAAAATGGAGGATTTATTTGCAGTTACCCTTGTACAGATGAACATGTGGTACTTCCTGTTTATTACTGTCATATTCAGCTGCTCATGAGGTCGGCCTCAGGGCTTTATCCATCTTTTAAATTTTCCTAAACTTTGTTTTTTTTTTTTAAATGTAATAAACTGTATTCCACCCTCTAAACTCTCAGAGTAATATGTGTCTTAATTACATGTTCTCCACTGACAACGTTTAACCGTTTTCTGATGATTGTTCACAAAATCCCTCTGACTGCAAAGTGTTCATAATACAAAATATGACTAATATGTCAGAGGAAAAGGGGGTGGAGCTCCAGCAGGTAAGGGGCGTTTCAATTCGGGACAAATTGAGATCTCTGATTGGTCAGTTTGCTGACAACCCTGCTGAATTGATTGACAGGTGGCGTTGAGATCTGACTCATGCAAAAAAATCCTAGATTTTACTGGCCCGTTTTAAGGGTGTCATCATTTATTCCAGATTTATTTAAAATTTATTAAATATTTTGGTGAATCTGAGGTTTGAGAACTGAGTTTCTTTACAAAATCCTAATGATGTTTTCTTTATTATTCAGGGGTGCTGAGTTAAAATTTAGGGGTGCAAAAAATGGATAAAATCCACGCTGCATACATGTGTTCGCCTGCAGTAACAAAATGTTTACTTACCAACAACATCTGAGGCTCGAATCGTCTCCTTCAGGAAAACCACAGATATGACAGCGGAGGCTGAGAAGACAAAACATATTTAATTTGATTCATTATTAACACGCTGCCATACTTCGACACCGTAAATCACTTTAAAAACACAACATCACCTCAATGAATGTTTGACTCTGGTCATTTCTACCAGATATATTACAGATTTATGCAGATTAAAAGATATAAAACATAACGTTGGTCATGTTGATATTGATCAGCAGGATCAAATCTGATGACAGATGGACGGAACTCATTAGAACTTCATACAACTGGCGTCCGAATATACCAAGAAACTATACCCCGTGCAGCATTTTTCATGAACGCCTTCAGAAACATCACTGTCAAAAACTGAGCTGGTGGAAAGCAATTAGTTGTACACGAGCAAAGCAGCAGATTAGTCTTGTTAATGTTTCCTGGCACCAAAGCGAGGCTGACGGATGCACTCGTGGTGCTCAGCTGTCACAAAGACGAATAGTAGAACAGACAGAAATGCATGCAGACACACAGACGCATCTGCAGACATGCGGATAAACAGGCAGATGGACACAGACGGACAAACTGGGACAGAAAACAAACAAGTCCAACGGACAGCAGCGGTGATTAAGGTGAGCGTAAATCACGTTCACAGCCCTGAGCATCAGGAGTTAAACTGGGACCTGTTCTGTGAAAAGGGACGTCACATTTTTGCACGCAGACAACAAAATCCGACTAAAAACATATTTCTGATCTGCAGCCAATGCCATTCTAGACACAGCTGATCCTACATTATTGTTGAATCAACCCAATCATCTTTTTGTTATAAGTTTCAACTCCAACTCATACTAAGGTTATCTTCCAGTACAATCATTATTTGTGTTTTTGCTTCTTCTATTGTTGAGCTTGTCAGCGTTCTATAAAAACTGTACATATTTTCTCACAAACCCAAACGTTTTCAGCATTACGATAAAAACAGACAAACGTTTCAGTTTATAACAAACTGTACAGCTTTTTGCATTAATATTTCACTCATTTTCCCTGAAGCTTAAAAATGTATAAACATTTTGAAAACCTACAATCTGTTTGGGTAATTAATTCATAATAAAACAAAGTTAAATGAAATTGTGTTCCCATCAAATGCAAGACAAAAAACAGAAGACAAAATCTGCTAGTTAATTACTTTTGTAGTTTGTAAACGCAATCATACAAATAGATAAATCACAAAAAAGGTTAAATCATGTCATCATTTATGACATAATTTAACATTTTTTGTGTATTTTTGTAGTTGTTTGGTTTTGGTTGGTGCTTAAATAATGTTATTCTATATACACCTGATCCAATAGCCCCAAGAATAACACTAGTTCAACACCACTACATGTTAAAAACTATCTCCCAGCAGCAAGAGGTATCATGAAGACCAAGGAACATTCCACAGGAGACAGACAAAGCTGTGGAGAATTACATATAAGGGATGGTGCTAAAAAATAAACATCCTAAACCCCGAACATCCCATGACAGTGTTTCCCTTACCATTGCTCATGGAGGGTGCCCCGCCCTGTCAACAGAACCAAGCGCCCTGCCTTCTGCGCCCTGACCCGCAAGTTACACTAAAGCGGGGGTATTCAATTAAAACTCACTGAGGTCCAGTTACTAAATTTTCCTCCTAGTAAAAGGTCCGAACGAAAGTCCAACGTTTGACTTTTATGGTCTGGCCTACCCGTATTCACATTTTCACTGTCAACAAACTGCACTTTAAACAACTAGCTCCTTTACCATATTTAAAAGTAGTCCCAGACAAATAAATTTAGGGCTTTTATTTCAGATTAAAACTGAAAGCTCAGAATAAAATATATCTTAAATGTGCAAACAGAGCCCAATAAGACTTTTTCTCTTAAATTGAAGAGGTCCACGAATTGAAGGCTTACACTTGAAGTAAAAAGTTAACATCTTTAGAAACAGAAAACAATTAAAAAAAAGTGGATCTTTTAGTATAAAAAAGTGTAAACAGAGCATTTTTCTCTTTTTCTTTTCCTTTGAGGCACCAACCTATAAAAATTAAGTTTTCAAGTAAAACACATCAGCATCTTCAGAAAACAATAAAGAAAAATGGCTCTTTTAGAAAAATCTGAAAACAGAACATTTAACAACACCTTGTATTTTTTGATTATTTATTTTACTTTTATTAATGAGAGAAATGAACATGGGATTGTCCTGCCAGTAATTTAAATCTTGGTTGGAGTCAGAGTTGTTCTCATGTAGGAAGCTGAGCTGAGTAACATCTGTAGCCTCATCAATGGCCAAAGGGATGCATGGTGCACTCTGAACAGCTGCATCCAGCTGTGCCAGAACATCATCTGCTAATATTTCTGATTTTCTTCTTGCTGTTGAAGCTGACATCGCAATTTGTCTGATTTTTTTCACACATCTCATCTTTTTGTTTTCCATCAAATGTCTCAGCAACAGCATTTAAGCACTAATTTACTACTGTCCCGTCACTAAACTTTTTTAAATGTTGCTCCAAAATCCACAATACCTTGAGTGAACATTCACGCCTACCGGATTGATTGACAGGTCGCAAAAAAAAAAAAAAAAAAAAAAAAAACGAGAGCTGGCAGCCCCAGTGGCAGCAGTGTTCTGTGTTTATATGTTGTTAATAAAAAGTTCTAAAAAAATTTTAAAAAAAAACAGCAGCCCACCAGGAAATCTCCAGACCCTCCTGCAGGCATGCTGGACCTGATTTTAATTCTCTCACGACAAATTCCTTAATTTCTCACAATTTCAGTCATGGCGTCAACGAATGAGGAGGAAGAGATTGCTTGCCTCTTGGAAAAAAAAAAGGAAAGGCCATTAAAGGCCATTAAACATGGCCATGGATGAAGAAGGGGAATTTAATACATTGGTGTCACATACAAAACAGTCCGTCGCCGGGCAGTTTATTGTGCAACACAGAGTATGCATACGCGGTTGTAAAAATGGATCTTTGCACGGACATGCCCTGCAGGTGTCCACTTCGAGTCTAATCCGATACGTGCGGACCTCCACGGACTGAAGTCCGCCCAAGCCTGTGGGAGCCTTAACGGTCGGGAGCGGAGATTGTTGCCAAGGGCCGGCTTCGACCTGACATTAGTAATGTAGTGCTACAAACACAACAACAAACAATGGCAAAATCAACGTAGCGCTCTGTTACCCCCCAAAAAAACAATCGCGTCACCAGTCACAGAACGTTCTGGTCTCTTCATTACCATTTCGAGAGTGGAACAGATATTCAATTTCCAAAACCTAACCTGAGTCTGGAAAAATGTAAAAGATGATCAAGCCCTGTGGCCGACCTCATGAGCAGCTGAATACAACAGTGATAAACAGGAAGTACCACATGTTCAACTGTACGAAGGTAACTGGAGGTAAATCCTCCGTTTTCTGTCATAATTACATTGTATGCTTAATGGTTAAATTAAAGGTTAATGCTTAAAAATAGTTGTGTTTTGTTTTGTGTGTTTTATATGTAGATATATGTTGTAACTTCTGGGTGCATAAGTTTAATCTTTGTTTGCTATGATCAGTTAACACTAAACTGATTTTGTACGAAGCGTTTATTAGGTTGTGTAGTGAAAAGCTGAGTGCTACGTCTGTAGCATCTTAGCTAGCGCGCCTGTATTGCATGTTGCTAGCTTAGTGCTACTTCTTGTTGTTCCACGCTCTCTAAAATAGTTATTGAATCAAGCGTTTACTTATGGAGGTAAACGTAGATGTTTAAAAAAAACATTAAAATACACCAGAAAGTAGGAAATGGCATCTACTTTATTCAAAATTTTCTGGGGGAAGGACCCCCAGACCCACTAACAACCACCACCACCAATGTGCCCACCCCACTTACTAATGCTTCTGACACCAATAACCACTGTGTTGTTCAAGCCAAGAGACAATGTCAACGCTGGGGGCTAAGCTCCCCTAAAGGTCACATTCTAGAACCGCCCCTGCCACCAAGTACAAGGTCAGTCAATTTGACAGGTGTTGTGCTCAGATTTGTTGTGGTAGTAATTAAGAATCATCAACAACAAATACAAATGGTGTAAGATCTTTGCCGTTGACTTGGTGTCAACTCTGCTGAAACGGTCAGCAAAAATCTCTTACAAACCACTCTGAGAGTTTCAATGAAATCTCTCACAGATGAACATCCACACCTGATTAAGTTTGGAGTCATTGTGATTCAAGATGTCTGCCACAGCTAAGCAAACTTAGCAAATACATTAATGGCTATAACTCAAGTCAGCTTTACAAATATTGAGCTAAAATTTGTTGTGGTAGTAGCTGAGAGTCATTCACGAAGTGTGCAACATGTTGCAGGATCACGAGTGCTCAAAACATTGTTTTTAAGGTTTGACCAAAAAGGCTACCAGTCTGTCATTTCTCATCACACAGTGGTCTCAGTTTAACAGTCTGGCATGATAACTGGAGCTGATTTGCATTTCTTCAAAGAACCCAAGGACTTTATTAAGAAAATGGAAAGATTACATCAAAGATTACATCATGACATCAAACATGCAGACAGAGTTGCTAAAACTGATTGTGTTGTAAAGAGCTTTGAGTATCTTGATAAGATAGAAAGGTGAGATATAAGTACAGTCCGTTTACCATTTACAGATTAGCTGTAGCAGCCATCTTGAATTGGGCTGAATAAGAAGAAAAAAATAGTTGAAGCTGTACAATCAGTGATTACTTCCTAATTGTATTAAAATGTGTTCACTTTTTCATGACCACGACATTTTGCAGACAAACGGACAAAATCATTCCAGGACAGAGCAGGTGACGGCACGTGACCAGAAACGGACTAACTGAAATGAAAAATTGCTCGAGAACTGTGAAAAATAGGCAGATGGGAGGTTGGTTTTCATGCTCTACAGCCATCGTGAGATTAGCTGCAGAGCGCAGCACGTCAGTCAGACAAGCGCCGCTCAGGCAGGATTACCGTGTTGATGTGGTACAACAGACGGCTTCTTAACACGGAGATTAAACACAGTACTTGTGCTTGTATTTGCAAATACCGTCATCAG